TGCATAGATTGCTCTGTAGTAAAGGGAGGCTGGTGTATCAGCCGGACCTCCTGATGAGCTTTCCTGCCCCTCTCCTGTAGGTGGGAATGACAGTTCACTGTAGGATTATGAAGATTGACATTGAGAAGTTCAGTGCAGACCTGACCTGCAGGACCTCAGACCTGATGGATAAGAACAACGAGTGGAAACTGCCTAAAGACACCTACTACGATTTTGACTCTGAGGCAGCAGATCACAAGCAGGAGGAAGACCTGAAAAGAAAGCAGCAGCGGACAAGTGAGTCTCTAATTTTATTCTCCCTCATAATGCCAACATTCCCAGGGTGCTTCAGGGGAATAACCACAATTAGGCATGTAGCTGTAGTAAAGCGGTTCCTCTTGGAAGCCTAAACACTCTCTTTGTTCCCTAGCGTACATCAAGAGAGTAATTGCTCACCCATCATTCCACAACATTAGCTTCAAGCAAGCTGAGAAGATGATGGAGACCATGGACCAAGGGGATGTGATTATTCGGCCAAGTAGCAAAGGGGAGAACCACCTGACTGTCACCTGGAAGGTGAATGATGGGATCTACCAGCATGTGGATGTCCGAGAAGAAGGCAAGGAGAATGCCTTCAGCCTGGGCTCCATGCTTTGGATTAACACAGAGGTAAGAGCCCTGCAGAGCATGCCAGGGAAGGAGAAGTGCCTTTTTGGCAGGGACAGGTTGGCACAGCCTTTCTGTCATTGCAGCTGCTTTCAGACTGCTGAAGAGTAAATTCCATTGCAGTTCTCTAGATTCTTAGACACAGTTCTTGCTGTGCAGAATATGTATGTGAGACCTGTACACTAGAATAAGAGTTCATCATCATGCACCCTAAATACTTCTTTAAATGTGTTTCGTCAAAGGAGTTTGAAGACCTGGATGAAATTGTTGCTCGCTATGTCCAGCCAATGGCTTCTTTTGCCAGAGACCTCTTGAATCACAAATACTATCAGGACTGCAACGGTGGAGACAAGAAGGTAAGCCTGTCCTGGGATGTACTAGCTTCTGTAGGAGATACAGGAGTATTATATAAATTTGTTTGTCTCGGGACAGGTCTTAAACTCTTTGTGTCTGTCATAAGCTGCTGCTAGAGTGAGCTCTCTGGTCTTCCTCTTGCTGCTTTTGGGCTTGGCAGTCACTTTCCAGCTATAGCTATGGGAGATTCTGTCTGGCAGCAGTGGAAATAGGAGAGCAATGGGAGTATGGTGTGCTCCAGCAGTGTGCCAGAGCAGCAAAGGGTTGCACTGTCAGCAAATATCACCGAGTAATCTGTTTTCTGTGACCTGGTGACATTTGTGCACCAACCAACTGTGCAGGAACAGTGTAGTTGTTGGTCCTTGTTGGATTGTGAGCATCAGGGCTGGGAAGGAAAAGGGCTGACCACAGCATGGAGAGGAGATATCCACAGGCTCTGTGTGTTGCCGGAAATGTAGACTCTCCTTGAGCATTTCTCTTTTTTTTTTTTTTCTCTTTAATTAGAAGCTGGAAGAGCTGCTGATAAAGACCAAGAAAGAGAAGCCAACGTTTATTCCCTACTTTATTAGCGCCTGTAAAGACCTACCTGGCAAATTCCTCTTGGGATATCAGCCTCGAGGCAAACCAAGGTGAGAGACAAGACCAACATCTGCAGCTGAGTACTGCCAGTACCACACCTCAGCTTACTGCTGCCAGTTTTCCTTCCAGCTCTGTCAGTATCCTTGTAAAAGTCATGCCTCCCTTACCCAGGCTGTGGCCTCCTGACAGTGAAGGACCTATGTCTAGGAGTAAGTCTCACCCCTAGACACCTGTGTTTCTAACCAGCTGGCTGCTACAAGCAGTACTGCCCTGTGCAGGGGGTGTCAACAGGAGTATAGGCAGAGATTGATAGATTTTGCATGGAAAGGAACAGTATCTTTGAGCAGTTGTTTGAAAACAAAATGGGTAGGTCTGACTGTTCATTATCAGCATGGCCATAGCTGTTCTGGCCGTGACCTGTCAGTGTGAGGGTGCAGGTATGGCTCTGAAGCAGCCTGCAATCTCAAGTCCTCTCTTGCATTCACCACTCCTCACAGGATAGAGTATGTGACGGTGACACCAGAAGGATTCCGCTACCGAGGCCAGGTCTTTCCTACTGTGAACGGACTCTTCGGATGGTTTAAGGATCATTATCAGGACCCTGTTCCAGGTGGGCACCCCAAGACTTGAGTGCCTCAGCTGTCTTGCCTTTCAGCCAAGTGGGCTGTGAGGTAAAGGCTGGGCTTGTCAGTTCCTCTCCCTTACCCTCCCCAACCATACAATCCTGGTCACATCATTCCCTGGTAATGTAGCATGTTGCCTGCTTATTCAAATCCTGAGTTTCAGCTGCTCTTCCAGGAGAACTAATCCATCTCTCTTGGTTTGTATTTCATACAGGTATTACCCCAAGCAGTAGCAGTCGGACCAGGACTCCAGCCTCCATTAATGCTACTCCAGCTAACATTAACCTGGCAGGTCAGTGCAGGCCTTTCCTGGTTGGAATTGGGATGTGAGCTCCTCCTCCAGGCTCTGCTTTGTCTAACATGATGGGTCTTTCTTGCAGACCTGACCCGTGCAGTGAATGCTCTACCACAGAACATGACTTCCCAGATGTTCAGTGCCATTGCTGCCGTGACAGGCCAGGGACAGAATCCAAATGCCACTCCTGCACAGTGGGCATCCAGTCAGTATGGCTATGGAGGCAGTGGAGGTGGCAGCAGCGCATACCACGTAGGTCTCACTTTAAAGGTTGGACCAGATGGTCCTTGAGGTCTTTTCTGACGTGGTGTTCTGTGATTCTATGAAGTTCCTGAGAGGAGGAGGTGCTGCACGGCTTCTCCTTGCTGCTAGAAACCATCCCATGGGGGCTCCACTGTGAGCCTAGGTGGTTACTCATTGCCTGGGTCCTAGTCGTCGTACCCAGTGGGAGCCTGGCTGGATTCTTGTGCCAGGTTTCTTCTTGCCTCCTGTGGCTGAAGAAATGAGGCCCATAACACAGCCCTGCTCTGGGGAGAGTGGAAGCAAATAACAAAGTGGATCTGGCCCCCAAGGAATGTGGCAGGGTGGAGAGGTGGGATCCAGCGGTGAGGGTGCACAACCTTCTGATTGTGCCCCTGAACTGGCAACGTGAGCTGCCAGGGGAAGAGATTAGCTGTGAAACTATGTGCTGAGTTTGCAGGGCTTTTCAGCTCAGCGTGCTAATCTCTGAGCTGCACCGGCAGGAGAACACCTCAGCCTGACCCAACACCCAGACGCTTTGCAGGGAATAAGATGGAATTGGACAGTTTCAGCTTACACTGAGGCCTTTCCTCATGTGTGCTGGTGCCTGCCTCCTCCCAGCCCATGCTGCCAGCTCCATCAAGGCTAAATCCAGCTGCAGAAGGACTGAGGTGCCTCGGTACAAAAAACACACCCAGCCATTAGAGACCTGATGAAGAGGTGCTGCAAGACAAGGCTTGCAGGGAGGAATGATCCTCTTTTAGACCACCTTGGGAGGCTTTCATGGAGTTTGGCACAGCAAACACTGAGCTGGGGAGAGGCAGGGACTGTGGATAACTCAGTGTGTTAATCATCAAGACAATCTGAAGGAAAAGGGAGGTGAAACACCGGGAGGCAGAGACTAAACACTCCATTGGGCTGAGCCAGCCAGCTTGGGATCTGGGAGGGAGCCGTCTCGGAAGCTGCTGTGCTCACAAGGGAAGAATTCGTCTGTTCTTCAAGCCCATTGTGGGAGGCA